CTGCAAGACATGCTTATCATGAAAAATTCAACTCACTAAGGCCCTCCCTGGTGGCTCAGCGGGTTAACGTGCAACACTATGAAGCTATCCACAGCCACTATAGCATGAAGCTATCCACAGCCACTGTAGCACAAGTTCAATCCCTGCCCAGGGAGCCTGACCCACATGGCGCAGCAGACCTCTCCTGACCCACCCGCTGCTCCCCTCAGCAGTGGATTTCAGTCGATCTACCTGTTCTGCTCCCCACTCTGTCTCTGGTGAAGCCTCTCTCACACACACGCCCATACCTCCGGTCTGTACCCCAGTTCTTGTATGCATAAATATATAAATCTTTAACAAAAAGTCAACTCACTCAAAGGAGAAATGGATAAGAAGAACGCATGAAGGATTGCTGTCTTACATTAGGTAGTTCTGTGCTACTTCGCTTTACTATTACCAATACTTGGAACTTTAAAATATATAATGACTTGATTTCAACGTTAACATTCCATCACTTTTTGGAATTACCGTGGCAGCGTCTACATCTTAGACCACAACCATTAGAGTCACAAACGTTAGAGTCACAGCACGGACCAAAATGAGTTGCGGGTATGTCGGAAATGCCAGAAACGAAAAGCCATTTGGACATGTCCTGTGAAAATAGAAGAGAAGGTCACCTTGGGCTGGGAATGCAAAATATAAAGCCTGAAAGGCATAAAGAAAATGGCTGACAGAACTGATTACTTACAAACTAAAACTTTTGCAGAACAAAAGAAGATAAACAAGAGGATGGGAGAAAGTATTTGTAATATGCAGAGTGGTTCATGCCAGGCGAAGAAACTCCTATTAGAAACTTGTGTGACAGTTGTGCTCCAGAGCACGTGACTTCACTACGCCCGGTGAGTTCGGACAGGGAACAGGGAGACAAGTGCAGAGCGGTGGAAATGCATGAAACCCAGCCCTGAGCCCACCGATGTCTCCCCAAAAGGGTCAGTCCGGGGTCCTGGCCCCTTTCTGTGGACTCCAGGTTCAACACCCTTTCCACTGTGCCACACTGTAAAATCTTGGGGTGTCAGGAAATCTCAGGGCGCAGATTCTAATTAGCAAGAGTGGTCAGTGGCAAAGAGAGCACAATGGAAACCAACTTGACTGCACTTCAGCCAGGCTTTTGCGCCAGTGTCAGCTGCGTCTGGAGGCACCAGAAAGACCAGCTTCCTCCTTAGCCTTAAGCGTGGGCGGCACAGCCTGCCCCGTGCCTCTGGTGCAGCTTCAGGGCTGATGCTGTTCGCGTGAGCTCCGGAACCCCCAGGGTCCATGGTGCCACCTCTACTTTCCAGACCACTTATAGACATCCCCCATACTCTACCTTTCTGCTTTCAACCTCCTGGTCGATCCTAATGGCCACTTCTTGCAACCTCAATTCATTTATCAAGTAGTCTGATCTAATTTCTCTGCTTTTCATCCTTGCCTCTGGGACCTCTCCCAGAATCCACACAACTAGAAAGCTTTCCCCACACCTCACCTCCCCCACACCTCACCTCCCCACACCTCACCTCCCCACACCTCACCTCCCCACACCTCACCT